GATGGGAGGAGGAGATGGGGAGGAAGGGGGCGGGGAGGAACTGGGAGCCGCTTTCCGACTGTAAGGGGCGTTCCCTTGGAGCGGCTTTCGCGTCTCTGTAAGGAGCAAGCGCCCGCCGGTACGAGGGCGCAGAGGGACTGGACCGTCACTGGTCACAGAGGGATAACTGAACTGCCTCGTCGCTTGGCCAGAACTGCTCCCACCGCCAGTACGTGGGTTTCCCACCCGCGCCCGCACCAGAGCCGGGCTCGGAGCTGTTGAGGCTCTTCCATTTGGAGATAAACTTACTGTCCTCAGCCAGGGACAAGGGGCCCACCTGGTGCAATGGAAAAGGCGCAGAGTCAGCCTTAGCTGCTCCCTTTTTCAGGTAATTTATTGGACTGCTGGATGTGTCAACCATTGTGCTAAACATAATAAATGAATTAACTCATTGAATTTTTACAAGGTCCCTATGAAGCACCTATGGTTATTATCTTAATTTTACAGATGAGAAAATGCAGCTCAGGGACGGAGGAAGACCATAGAGCACGTAGGTGTGTGGCCACAGCTTTTATCCACTGTGGCTCTCTGGACAAGTTGCTTCTGCCTTCTGCAGCCCCATGTCCTTGCATGTATGCATCATGGCACCTTATATGCACTGGGCTCTCCAGAACTGCCAGCTCCTTTCCCTTTATGGAGTGGGGAAGGGGTGGCGACCAGCACTGGAGAGCAGCTTTTTGATGTTGCTTTATAAGGCATCTAAAAGTTTTACCAGGGGAAATGACACAGTTTAATTCTCTTAGCCCAGAATTGGTTTTCTGAGGAATACCCAGTGGTGTTTGAAAGTGGGGAGATAAGGACTCCTGGGGCTGAAGCAACAGTGCGCGGAGGGAAAGTTCATACTTCCTGGGTGGGAGCTTCTGCCAGAGCAGAGGAAGTGTGCTGGGGCCTTGCAGAGTGTTTTTCCAGGGCATGGAGCAAAGAGGCAGAGGCGGCTGGGAGAACAATACCTAGTAGACATCTTCCTTGGGAATGTATTCAGTAGTGGATGCTGGACCTTACCCAAGATTCTGAACTTCTTCCAAATGCCCGGGCTTAGAGTCAAAATCTGGAGCCTAGTCAAGAGCTACTAATGCCTGTGGAAGCTCTTTGTAAACCATAGCACTACACAAATAATAACTCAAATGTATTGAGAACTTACTATATGCTGGTGGTGTTCCTAGGCTCTTATACATACAACTCATTTACTCTCTCAACAAGGCAATAAAGTAGATGCTACCATCATAACTAGCTAGCTAATAAAAATAATAGGAAATGGGAGGCTGGACATTTTAAGCATTGTCATCCGGGCAGCTTCACACTCCCCAGGGAACTACCTGTCCCTTCCCTGCGGATCACTGGGGGAAGGGGTCCAACAAAGGAGGCTTGGGCGCATGTGCAGTAAAGTCGGGCTGATATAGGAAAGGTGCTTGCCTGTCAGTCTAGCCTGGGGAACAAAGATAACTGGCTAGAGGGGGTGGAGCCACTGCAAGCTTGGAAAATCCTGAAGGATTCATTGGTTAAGCTCCTAGTTAAAATCCTCAAAGAATTCTCACTCCTTGTTCCTCTTGCATCGTTCCAGCTTCCTTGCTCTCGCCTGCTCTGTGACCCTCTCTAGCCTGCCATGTGGCCCAGAAGCAGCAGGTTCCATGGCCATGCGGACCCAACACGCAATGGACAGCAGCTGGGAACACAAGCTAAGCTAGCCAGATGCTGGACTGGACTGTGCTTCAACGCGGAATGGAAACTCTGGGCAGTGGCTTTAATCCTAGCTCACTGAAGACAAAATGGGACTTTTTTTCATGGCGGGATGGAGGGAAATGGGGACCTTGGAGGGGAACTCCCTTAATGTCACATCACCAATAAAGCTTTCCATGATACCTCATCCTCCTGTGGGGGCCTCAGAAAATTCTTGTTCCCATGGCACCCCAAAAGCTCCACTTCCGCCTGCAACAGGTGGGGACATAGAGGCCACCCTACCATAACATAGGTACAACCATATTTTCACTGGCCACTTTACAAATAATATTGAAGCAGACAGAGATCAACTCTCTTGTCCAATATCATATGGCTAGTAAGTGGTAGAACCAGGATTTGAACTCTTAAAATTTGTCCAGACAACCATTTACCACCATTGTTATGATGATGAAGAAATACCAACCATTAAAATAACGTCACCTTCTGACTCCTTTTATGCTAACTTGCACAAAATTGCTGGATCTGTTTCTCCAGAAAACTGTGTGTGGGTGGAAGGAACTTTCCTCTACCCTCAAGTTGCTTTCAGGTGGTCAATCAAGTAGACATGAGACCGATTAGCATGACAAAATAACCAAAGTTAGTCCATATGTGTGCTTGGGAACCCTGAATCCATGAGAGAGTGAGAGATCCCCCCCACAAGAGAGGTTCAAAGTCAGGAAGGGAGCATGGGTATCTAGGACATTCTGAGCTAGGAATGAGGTAAGCTGCCCTGGGAGCTTCGAAGGGTCATTGCAAAGAGCAGTAATTAGAAGTGTGGCCTTCCCAATAGGTAGTCCGATACTTATGGGCAAGGCTCCTTATTCAGATTCATCAAGGTGGCTGAGGTGGGGAAGTTTTCTCTTGAGCCTTCACTAGAGCAACGGTTGCCTTTAGCTTAAAACAACCTGCGTCCCATAGAGGCACATCTTGGGGGGACTCTTTCTGAACCTCTATAGCTTTCTTCTTTCCTCTAGGCAAACAGTGAGAGGAAATGATGGATATAAAAATAGTTTTAGGTAGCCTGGAGAAAGCACTATGGAAAACCAGACACCTTGATGGAGACTATTCTGTTTGAGGCACTTTTGTAGACATCACATGGGGCTTCCTGATCCTTCAGCTCTGCGCCAGAGCACTCGAGACTATTGCCATTTGATTTGCAAGGGGTAGGGGGCTGACAAGGTGCACTGTGTTTTCATTGTATTTACCATTAGAAGCTAGGGAAAGCTTTATGAATGTCCATGCTGTGATTTTCCAAAGAGAAGAGAGATGACTTTGCATCTGACAGCAGTGGGAGGGTGAGTCAGGAGTGCTCCGCACAGGAAGGAGCCGACAAGTAGCTTGAAGCTGCTTCCTAGAGAAGGCGAGTTGTCCTGCAGCCCCGACTGATGGTTAGGTCAGAAGGCACCCTGGGCCACAGACCTCTGTTCGCTCCTGCGAGCACTGTTTTACACCCCCCCCCCCC